GGTTCCCCCTGGGACCTGCATAGTAGAAAGAGAGAACCAACTTCTGCAAGCTGGTCCCTGACCTCCACATCAGTGTCATGGTGTGCTCCCTTCACCCCACCACACAAATAAGTGTAATAAAAAAAGTAGATAAGCATAGAAGAAAGATAATATGCAACACAAAGGTATTATTAGGGGGACATAATTAAGAGTGACTCAACTGAAAGGTATTTTTCACAAGTAAAGTTCAAATAGCTACATGATGTATTCATTACATAAATCATGATTACTCCTGATTATCCCAATTTTATTTAAACCACACAAGTAATACGGTTCAACTTCCTCTAAGTCACTTTCTTAAATTATAAAAGCATTACTTGCTCACTGCAGAATATTAGAAACAGGAAAAAGAACTCTATAATGGAATTACACAACAATCAGAAAATGGAATTCTGTAAATCTCTCTTATTTAACATGTCATTGTGGGAACATGTTAAAATACTATAGCATAACCCCTGGTTGTTTCTCATTTTTGAGAGGGATCTGAGTATGTAAATTTTTCAGTATAGATTCCTAGAAACGTAATTTCAGAGCCGGGCATGGTGGAGCATTTCTCCCAGGACTTGGTGGATCTGAGTTTGAGGCCAGCCTGGTCCACAAAGCTATTCAAGATAGCCAGAGATACACAGAGAAACCCTGTCTGCAAAACACAAGTTTCAGGAGTTTTATATTTCTAATAGCACATTAATGAACCAGTTTTGGAATAAAAGGCAAACTTATTGTGATGCATAGTGAGAAAGTTCTCAGGCCAGCTCTTCATGCACCCTGTAAACAAGGCAGCTCCACAGTTCTTCAATAGGTTACTAGAAAGTAGCCTCTCAGCACCCTAAAAACACTTGGAATGCAAAGTAACTCAAAACAACATTCACAAGTACAAGTTAATCTTGACCACACGTGGATGGCCCTCCTCCAAACTCTCCGTTATGCAATAACAGCATTCCTACAAACCAGTCAAAAGTCCTAGGCTTAACTGGTCTTTTGCATTTACTGATTTTTCAAATGAGTAACTATGCTACCAACAGAATGCTCTCAATTTTTACAAAAACTGTGACCTCCAGCCCCTCAGCTGATCTTACATCCAACTAGAATCTTTTAGTTCTCTTTGACACCCATTCTCATTTAAAAAAAAAAAAAAGACAGTTCCAAGTTAACACTCATTATATTTAATTATTCAAGAAGTTCCGGTATACTCTTGATCTAACACCTAACCACGGAACTGATGACAAAGGTAGATTATAATAAAAATGACCATGACCATCAAGGTTGGGTCTAAGGATTCAATATAATGACTTCAATTATAGGACTGGAGGTCTGTGAAGACATGTTTAAATTTAGAATCTGTGTCTATGTAAATCAATCATGGCCACATGTCTATATTACCCAGTGATACTTACACCATCTTCCTGCTGTCAGGGTAACCTGGCCCCTGACATAAGGAGACCCCTGCAAAAAACAAAACAACTCTTAATCAAGAGCTCTTACTATACATAGTATATTAAATGGAACTATTCATCCTGCCTACTCTAGACGGAGTAGACCAACTTCAGGCAACGACGTAATCTTTATCATATGGAATCATGCTTATTAAACATTCTACTGTCTCACTGGCAGAGAATAGGTATGGGAGATTAAGAGCAGGTATGCATCTGGAGAGGAAGACAGCCCTAGAAGTTGTATAATCGACCTGCCTTTATGTTTGCATAATGTCTCTAGCCTCCAGGTTATCAAAGACAATTAAAATTTGAAAATAAGACACACAATGGCTTACCCTGTGACTTCACAGGACCTAACATGAAGTGGGGAGTTGGTCTGGGATTTATGGATTAGGCTAGAATGTTTGCTGACTGACTCCGAGCAGCAAAGACTAGGCAACTTTAGGCCTAGGGTCTCCAGCTTGTCTCTGACAGAGCAAATCCTCTCTCTCCTTGTCAGCTCTCCCTCCTAAGTCTTCCAGCCCGGTCACTCTAACAAAAGATGAGTCTTGAGTTCTAATTCAAAAGGATAACTTCCCCTTTCTTTTCTGGACAGGGATCAATGACCCAAGCTTGCTTTCCTTGGCACTCTGGGTTCCCACTGTCTCTGTGAAGACACAACGTCCACGGCTGAACACGCCTGCTTTCCTAGACCCTAAGTGAAAAGGTCTGGGTATTTCCTCTTCATGGAAGTTGCCAAATCTACAGCTTTCTGACCTGCTGTTTTTCTCTCAAATTCTAACAAAATGATCTGAGAGAGAGAGAGAGAGAGAGAGAGAGAGAGAGTCTACCCACCAAACCAACTGCCCTTATCGTAAATTCATTTCCCCAATATCTACTAAGCACAACTGTTTCTTCTGAAGATACTATTTCTCATGTTTTCTTTGCTGGTATTTGTGTCTATTAACAACCCTTCCTACACTGTGGGTGCAGGAGGTATGAACTGCAAGAGAGCTGGTCCTTATGCATACTCCCTAGCCAACATTCCCAGAGCCAGGTCGGTTGGTCATCTCTGCAGTGCACACTCTAAACAGTCTGTCTTGGAGCTAGAGCACAGCTGGTCACACAGATGCTTGGAAACTGGAGCTCAGTATAAAGTTTATCCCATAAGTTTATAAAGAAGTTTCATACAATGACCTCTTCATTTCTACTCACAGCAACACCCTGAAGTATGGCCACCTGCCATCCTTCTTATTTTATATACATCTAGGTTGGTGACCACTAGGTTGGTGACCAGCCTAACCAGAATGCCTGAGTCAAGATGCCAACCCCTAAGCACAAGGCTTTTTCCTTTTCCTGACAGATTAAAAAAGGAAAAAATACTTGTGGTGTCTCTCAGAACTCCCAGTTGAAAAGGAAGAACCAGAAGAAAAGGAGAACGCACTATGAACTGTGCTAACTAACGCCTTATGTCCTCCTGATATGGGCTTAAAGTCCAAGCACCTTACCGTCCGCCTAGCCTGCTCTGTATTTCCAGCTTACCACTTCTATACCCAGGCAAACCTCTTCCTTCTTGGAAACCTTTGCACAAGTAACTCCCTACCTGAAATACCATTTCCCTATCTAACTCATGCATTCTTTAAGTCTCATCTTAAATGACAATTCTCTGGGGAGGCCTTCACCAACACGCCCCTCTACTAACTTCCCAAGCTGGGTTTTATTATGCTACCCTCATGCGACATCCTGTATTTCTTTGTAACCACAATGCTATTTTGTCCTAATGTGTACATAAATGTGTATTTGCTCCGTCTACCCAGCTAGCCCATGAGATTCTTGCAGACAGAGACCATCCGTACCCCTATCACCTGCACAGCAGCTGGCAGAGTAAGCGCTCTAGTCTGCTAACAAGGCAGTTTGGTAAAAGTTTTACCCGGCATGCACAAAGCAAGCCTCGGTTCTGATCCCCAGCACTGTGTAAAATCAGGCATGGTGGAGCAATTCTGTGACTCCAACACTGGGAAGTTAAATGTCATCCTGGGACTACTTACCCAGTTTGAGCTGAGCCTGGCCTACATCAGATTCTGTCATTCAGACTGACAGACAGACAGACAGACATACTCTGTTGAGTACACCAGTAAAGAAGAACAACACTTATTCATTCAGTACAGTAGTTTGGACTGAGGAAGGGGGGGGGTGACCTTGGCCTAAAACTCTAACCCCTTGGAAAATGCTTTTGAAAAATAAAGACACTAAATCTCATTTGGTTATGATTAGCCCAAAGTTGCACAGAAGGCATTCAGAACAATGTTTGGCACAGAAAAGCCTACAGTAAGACTGAATCAACTAATAATTTGTCAGAGTCAGATGTGGTAGGCACAAGATTGTAGTCCCAGCTCTCAGGGTTGGAGACTAAGAGGAAGCTCAACGTCAGCCTGGTATACATAATGAGCTCCAAGTCAGCCAGTGCTAGACAGCAAGACCTTGTCTCTCAAAGGGGGGGGGGGGAAGAGAGAGAAAGAGGGAAAATAAATAAATGTTTGCCAGGCATATGACAAAAAGTCAGCTACATAAGATTGTTAATAACTTTCTCTCCCCTTCCCCTCTACCAACAACAACAAAACCAACTTCAACAAGAACCTGCACACAGCAGTGAGAAAGAAAATCAAAATTTGTGGGGCTGGAGAGATGGTTTAGAGGTTAAGAACCTGTACTGTTTCTCTTTCAGAGAACCCAGGTTCGGTTCCCAGTACCCACATCAGGCATTTCACAACCACCTGTAACTCCAATTACACCAAAGACAGCTCTTGGGGCCTCCATGGGCACATAAGGACAAGCAAGTACACACACACACACAGAAAATAAATTTAAGCGGGCGGGAGCAAGGGGTGGGGGAATCTAAACCTCCAACAGCCTCTCCACCATCATTTACCTTAGGATACTGTTGTCTTTGACTAAAGTCTCCTGGCAAGTCACTTTGTTTCCAATTTCAAAAGGCTACCACACCTGCTTCCTTCTCCGTTGACTTCATGCATACTATCCTGTTCTCCCTCTCCTACTGGTCACTTCACCAGCTCTGTCACATCCTCCAAGTCACAGCTTTAATGTCGCCTTCTTAAAGAACTCTGTTCTGTCCCCTCTCGCGTTTCCAAGCACTTAAACAATTTGGTCACTTGGTTAGCAATTTACGCTTGGCCTTTCTAACTTCAGCCTTAAGCTCCAGGAAGACGGGACTGTTTAATCGCTGTGTCTCTAATGAGAGCTAGCTCAGTGCCTGGCAGTGTAAATCCAATAACCAATGGCCGGTGGTGTAGCTCAGTGGTAAAGTGCTTGCCTCTCATGCCCTAGGTTCCATCCCCAGCACCAGAAAGAGCAGAACAAAACTTAGTCACTGTGTATCGAGTGGATAAATGACAGCCGTTATACTTAAGGAGCACTGCTTCGCATCTATCTAAACTCGCTGTCTTTAAATAGCATGAGAAGAAACATCACATTTCCTGACCTGCTGCTCTGCCCCCGAGAAGAGCATTTTAGGTGACCACAAGGGCAGAACTTACCAGGCAGGGAACGTCTCCCTAGAGGGCAGTTCCCCTGTTGAGAAAGAAGACATTATCGACGTCACCCAAAATGAAAAGAGGCAAGAAACATTTTTTTAAGTGCACGTTTAACGAGCTGCTGACAGGTGAATCTCGTAACTCAGAAGGTAAATGCAAAACACCGAGTCGGCCAACCATGTCAACCTCCCCACGAGACTGACACGCGCTGGTTTTGAGGAAGACAGGCCGCGGATTCCGGTTGGGGGCCGTGCCTCCTCGCCAACTCTGAGTCAATGTCGCGGAGGGTGCGCCTCCCAGCTCCGGAGGTAAGGGTCCCGGACAGCAGGAAACGGCCGGCGCGGGCTGCCAGGGAGACGCCAAGGGTGGCAGGACTCGGCACACGAGGCGGGGCGGCTCCGAGGGCGTCGGCTGCCTCCGCGTCCCGGTGCCCTTGGTGGCCGGCCTGGCCAGCGCCCCTGCCCTTCAGCTCGCCCGTCTGCCCACAGCCGGCTTCCGAACCCGCCGGTGCCCCGGCCCCGCCTGACAGTACCTTCTGGAAGGCAGAAAGCGAGCGACTGAACGCCCGGGACACGCAGCGAGACCGGGACAGCATCGCGGAGGCAGCGGGATGGAGGGCGGGCGGACACCGGATATAGGGCCCGGCAACAACCGGAAGTGAGGCAGGCCGCGGCACCCGCCGTGCAGCGAGGGGTGTTCGGAGCGAACCACTAGCAGGTTGAGGTGGAAGGAGAAGGTGAGCCAGGCCCGGAGCATTACCTGCCCTGGTCCTGGGGATGTGGTGCTGTCAAGAGGCCGCCAACTTGGACAGCCATCTGGCCACCGGAGCGCCCGCCCCCGAGTTCAAGCCTTCCCTACTTTTCCTCAGAGCTAGTACTGTTTGGCGCCCTTGGCTGCCCCAGGCTATTCTGCCTCTGCACTCTAGGAAGAGAACGGCTTGAGGACATAGGCTATTGAACTTGCATCTCAACCTAATGTGGGACTTGGGCAGACTTAGGCAGGTGGCACTGCCTCTCTGAGCCTGGAGCTCCTCAAGCATATATATGTATACACTTTTTATTGCCCCGTCTCCTCGGTCCCCCGAACAGGCTAGGGTACCAAGGAACCTGTGAAGGGCTCTCTCACTTGTTCTTTTATAACGTCGGTTCTCAATCTATGGGTCGCGACTCCTGGGTGGGGCGAGAGGGGAAGGGGCACATATCAGTAACCTCCATCTCAGATATTTACATTACGATCATAACAGTAACAAAATTACAGTTATGATGTAGCAACGGAAATCACTATGGTTGGGGATCAGCACTACCTGAGGAACTATATTAAAGGGTGCAGCATTAGAAAAGCCGAGAACCACTGTTTTGGGAGCTGAAAGGCATCAACTAGCCTCACTCCACTTCATCTCCTGCTCTTTTCCGGTTCCTAAGCAAACTCTCCAGCCAAGCTAACGTCCCCACCCATCCTGTGCATTCTGTAAGCCATTTGTTACCCAACTCTGGGGGTGTAATCTCAGGGGGGCTTATATCGTTTAGTTCAGTGATGTATCCCACTGGCATAAGTTATACAAAATAAAATATTTGTAGACTTCCCACTCCCCAGTTTTGGGTATACCATTCTGCCCACTGCCTTACAATGAAAGCCCATGGCATCCCTTCCCCCTCCTTCTCTGCTTGCTCTCAAAGCCATAAGCCTGTAAGCCTGACTTCCTAACAGAAGAGGTATTCCATGAGGTGCAGCTGAATAAACTAATGTATGGACGGATGAACGAACCACCTGTTGCCCGTTGTTTGCTTGTTTTACTTGACGTTATCTTTCCCAGTTCTCAAAACCTTCACATAACCTTCACTTGCCAAACCCTGGAAACACTGCCACTTCAGTCTTGGAGCACTGGACAGAATCGCTACCTAGAAATAGAGAAGTCGCCCGTTCCCAGCTGCTGCTCAGAACTGGGTCTGTAAGGGACTTCATCTGGTTAGTTCCAAAGCTTCCTAAACAGGCTTAAGTCTCCACTTTCACTTTCTCCACTCCGCCTTCACACCGCTGTCAAAAGATCCTTCTAAAGTACGAAGTTAATCTTGCCACTCCCCTGCTTAAAGTCTTCCAGTTGCTTCTGCCTTCCTATAAATCTGAACTCCTCAGCTAACCAGAACTCCTGCTAATCTGCCTTCTGGGTTCTGGTCTCTGTCCTTGTTTTCACAGATGCCAAACATTAGTCATAATGCCCTGCTGGCCATCACCCTGGGCACTATTTCACGCCACATCTTTGTGTAGGCTGCTCCTTCCTTTTTATCCCTTTTAATTCCCCTTTAAACCTCTTCCGGAATCCTTCCCTTTTCCCCTCTGGCAGAGAGAGCAGGTACTTCATCTTCCAAAGTGTAGTATCTGTATCACTACAGTGCTTTCTACCATGCTGACGTATTTAAGTCTGTCTTGGGGCCAGAGAGCCGGCTCAGTGGTTAAGAGCATCCATTGCTCCTCCAGAGGCCCAGAGTTCTGTTCCTGGCACCCACATCAGGTGGCTCACAGGCACCTTTGTCTCCGACTCCAGGGGATTCAACTCCTCAGGCTCCATGGACATTTGCATAGTCCCAGGACAGACACAAATAATCAAAAATAGTAAAATTTTAAAAATACCAACAAACTTACCATTTGTTGGCTAAGTAAAGGGAAACAGAGACCATTCCCGCATTTTCTGAATCGTCTGCTCACAGCACAGTGAGTAGCTAGCCACAAGTAACTGAGAAATGACCAAACACTTCTGCGCGCACAACACTGATGAGCAATACAAGACCAATAGCCAGATGTGTCGGTCTGTAGCTGCTGAGGCTGCTGCTAATGTTTCTTAGATAGCTGCTTAATACTTTGTGGTTTTGTGCTGAGGGTGGAAGCCTTAGCTCTTCATGCGTGCTAAGTGCTCTGTCACTGAGCTACGCCTCAGCCTCCCCACCCATAGTTACATAAGTTTTTTGTGGTTTTTATGATTAATTTTTGACATCCTTCTCTAAGTTTTAGATGTGGCAAGCATATATCCTGGAATTTTAGTGATCACCCAAATTCATCTTTAACTTTAATCGTCTTAGGCTGGGCATGTTCACCCATGTTTATAATGCAAGTATTAAGTAGATCGAGCAGGCATTGGTGACACATGCCTTTAATTCCAGCCCTTTTAAAGCAGAGGCAGGAGACTCTCTGTGAGTTCAAGGCCAGCCTGGTCTACAGAGCTAGTTCCAGGCTCGCTAGGGCTGTTACACACAGAAACCCTGTCTTGAAAAATCAAAAAACAAATGAGAGAGAGAGAGAGAGAGAGAGAGAGAGTTAGGAGGGTTATAAATTCAAGGCCAGCTGGGCAATATAGCATGATCCTCTCTCAAAAAGAAGAGTAGGCTGGGAATATAGCTCAGTGGGAGATTGTTTTCCAAATCCTAGCATGCATAATACCTTAGGTTTAATCCTCAGCACTTCCAAAAGTGCTTTTAATGTATATGAATACATTTGTACACAATCGTATGCAAAGCTTTTCCCAGAGAATAGGGATTGAAATTGTCTTCTGTGGTCTACAAGTTATGATCCTACAAACTAGAACATTTTTCTAACAAAGCCTCTCTAAAAACAGCACTGCCTAGGCCAGTGGTTCTCAACCCTCCTAATGCTGGGGCCCTCATGCTGTGCTGACCCCCAACCATAAAACTATTTTTGTTGCTACTTTATAACTATAATTTTGATACTTTCATGAATCATAATGTAAATATCTGTGTTTTCTGATGGCCTTAGGCAACCCCCGTGAGAGAGTTGTTCAAGCCCCAAAGGGCCCCAATCCAAAGATTGAGAACCACTGGACTGTAGGGACATGTGCTCATAAAAGCAAGTAGCAGCAGGGTGCAAGTTTCCATTATAGCCTCAATATGCATATACATGCACATGGTTTAGTTCATTGTTAGGAAAATGCACACTTTCAAATTCCATAAAGATTTTGTGGTTTTAGAAAGGATCACCTAGTTCCATGAATGGAAAACACCACTCAGTGGTCAGTTCACCTTGAATAACACAACAATATTCTTTCTCCTAATCTCAAATCCTCTAGTATTTGTGTATGTGATCTGAACCATGATTTTTCGCATCTTTACGTGTGTGTGTGTGTGTCTATGTGTGTGTCTATATGTGTGTGTCTATATGAATATTACTGGATGGTACGATACAACGTACCCTTCCATCCATGGACTAAAGCCATAGAGGGTCACTGTGTGTTACCAATGGTACCCAGATTTCATCGGCTGATATATGCAGCTATAATGTAAAATAGTGAATAGATTTATCTATAGTGAAAATCCAGGCCCTTTGGGGTGCTGTTTTTGGACTTAATGGAAATGGAATCACAGTTCTTGTACCACTCTGCACTGGATCACACTGACTTTTTTCCCTCCACATTATGTTTCGAGGATTGAGTCCCGCTGATGAGCTATCCTGTGCTGATTTTCTCTCCTTTTTAAGACTTTTAAATTTTATGCGGGAATGGAACCCGGGACTTCTGGAAGAGCAGCCAATGCTCTTAACCGCGGAGTCATCTCTCCGGCCTGGTGCACTGATTTTCACTGCTGCATTTTACACATCATTAATTTCACTTCCTAGGGTGCAATGGAGAAAAATGTAAAATTCTGGGTGATGATTTGGGTAAAAGCAGGTTCTCGACTCTATCAAAAGATGGGCTTCCGTATCAGCAATCAGCTTCCCTAACCGTGTTCCAGCCTCTCCTGCCAGGGCAGGCCTCGCAGTCAGTTCTTCCTGAGATCTGAGGTGCGAGATTTTATGCTAGGTAGAATTCAGACTCCTGAGGTTGCTGGAAGGGATGGAAGAAATGATCACTTTGTGGGTGTCACTCACCACAGAACTCGGAGACAGAGGTCAGGAGCTGAGGCAAGAGCAGTGGGAAGCTGAGCAGTCCATGCTCCAAATCTTCAAAGAGGTCTGCAAATTCTTAGCCATGATGGAAAAGATGACATTTCAAGAAACCCTCTGAGCTGATTTTCAGAGAACCTGATTTGCAATGAGGGTGGGAAATGGCGGGGGTCAGCCAACCAGCTCAGGGGCTCCAATTTGCATATTCATAAGCCCCCATGCTGGTTGGCTGGGCTAAGCAGCCTTCTATCCCCAGTAGGGTTGGCTCTGACAGATAGTGTCTTGCATTGAGAAGTGGGCAGAAGGCTCCCCCAACCCAACCACAGCACCTGGCAGACAGAAGACAGAAAACCAAAAATCACTTCCTGACCCTGGCTCTGTCTGCCCAAAGCTGGTGAAGACCTGGTAGCTGTACTAATGGGGATCAGACCTCCATGAGGATTTCTTTTCAGTGAGTGATGCCGCCTTTCCTCTTGCCTCACGAGAATCCATTGTTGTTATTGTTATTGTTGTTGTTGTTGTTAAATGCTTGTAGTGAGTTTTCAAGTATTAACTTACTGTTATTACGTTGTCACATTTGCTTCGTCTGTTAATTTTATTTTATTTTTTGCTGAAATATTTTCAAGTGAATTCCAGGTATGGAGACTGTTTACCCCCTCAGACTACTCCATGTCCAATATCTGGGACAAATGGAAGCGCTTCTTAGCTAGGGTCTAACAGCATTTCTCCGTGAGTAGGGGATTGCCATATCTCCGTTTTAGAAAAATGCACTCCTCAGAAACTGCGGTTCTGGGGCCAATTCATGAGGGCAGAGCCCAGACATCTCCTTCTATCCCAGACTCCTGTGCAGCTGCACAAGAGGTACACCATCTTGTGGCACAGCACCATCTCTGAGGTCCGGAGCTATTTTCCTAAGTCTGTACCTTGGGCATGGCACTACACCTCTCTGCACTCCTGTAAAGTTGAGGGCATGCCAGGATGAGCCAAGTTCTGGGATGTTCTCTTCAGTGTCCAGGGAAATAACAAAAGGCAGGACAAACATTTTTCCCCAAACTACGTTTATCTGTGTGTAGTGTCCTTTTCCTTCCTTATGACAGGATGGTTAAGATTTTCCTTTATGGAAAGTAGATGATAAGAGATTACAATAGTTTAAACGCTTATTTCTGCGCCCTTGCCTCCGAAATAAAATGTCAGCAATTCTCCCAGGGGTCCCGTTTCTTTTCCTTTTTTCGTTTTGCTAATGGTCAATGTTTATAAGTCTTGGAAATCACTGTATCCGTTGCTCCTTAAGACCATGTAGGCGTCATATTTCGTTCTATAGGAACCAGCACAGGAAGAAAAACAACTTCAATGGGAGAGGCGCCTGTTCCCAGCCCTGCCCTAGGCGTGAGTAACTACATGGTATCCTTACCTTAGGAGGCTGACTGCTGTCAACCCTGTTTTATAGACAGAAATCCTAAGCTGGAAGGCAGGACTTGCATAAGGACACTAGAGAGTTAACCATTCTGATGTAAGCCCAGGATCCTTGATCGCACGGTAACTGACTGCCAACGATGCCTCAGGTCGCCAGACTTCTCACCCAGTTGGGTCCATGCCTGCCGAAGGATAGGGCTATGCAGAAATGGCCTGGAAGTGTGATCCCCTTTCCCGTTTCTGCCACCTGCAAGTGCAGTTCGGAGTGGGGACAATGCAAGGGGCCTCTTGTTGTGGAAGATGACAGAGATGAGGTTATGCATGAAAACACCTCAGTATGACAGAAAGCAAGGCAGGACTTTGGGATGTGCCACCCGAATGGGTCTTATGTTGGCAGCTTCAGTTAGTTGTGGCAGGTATTTGGGTATTTAGGTGAGAGGCATAGTAGGTATACAAGGAGAGC